CCTTATTTGTGTAAAGAAAAAAATCCTACATTAGTACCAAGAGAGTGTTGGCCAATAGAAAGATGAAACCAAAAAAACAATTAAGCAGCTCAGTGATGTGTTATCAGTAACACTGGGCCTGTGTGTGACAGACTCAGAGCTTGTCTTTAACAGATATTACCACATTATGTTTAAACAGTATGTTTTACTTCCTGCAGGGTCTCCTTCACAATAAAAGCCGTTTTGCATCAATTTGGATTGCAACACCTTTATTTTGAAACCAGGAGAAACCAGGAGAGGAAGTTTTATAGACGTGATTTTGTTTTTGTCGCACTGGGGAAATTCACGGCAGCAAAATGTATTAGGAAAATAAAATGCTTAAATAAGTAAATTTGAAAAATAAGGAGGAGACATGGGCGTGCCCTTCTGTGGGACCACCACCTGTGTGTCAAGCCGGCGTACAAAGACGGAGTCACTGGTGGTCCAATCTCCGGCTATCATGCAAGGATAGTTTTGACAATCTACAACAATTAGTATTAAAATATTAAAAAGATAGTGTTTCTCCTCATAGTGTGGGTTAAAATGTTTCAGTAATAACTGAATTTTAATTTTATTTACATTTTGTTTAAAACAATTATTACTCTCTGTGGGCGATCGTGGCTCAAGAGTTGGGAGTTCGCCTTGTAATCGGTAGGTTTGCTTGATGTACACCTAACAGGATGTGACTTGGTTCCAGGATGACGTCTTCACCCACTGAAGAAGATGAGGATGATGTCATGGCTGGCGTCAACACTGAGCATAATTTCTAATATAAATTTTCTGTTTCCTGATCTGTTTTCTTTAACAATTTCTGGTTTGGGTGTAATGCTTTCCTTTAACATTTTTTCAATGTTTTATCAATAAAAAAAGCTCATCTTATAGTATGTTTCATTTAAGATAAAGCAGTATTTGTCCTAGTAACAGAAATAATCAGAGTTTAAGGCAGGTTTTTATTTGTAGACTGTTGTGAATTTTAACTGCCCTGTTAACTCTGTATGGGTTTGAGGCTGTAGGTCACAAAGTACAGAACCACTTATAGTGATATGCTGCCCCCTGCTGACCGCTTCCTGTCAGTACTCAGGTTATCCATCTCTGAGGAGAGGCTGTGGAGCTACATCAGGGAACTGAAGCCCTGTGATGTTAAAGATGGAGATTGATTAAAATACTGCCAGACATGACCCTTCTCACGTTGTGGGCTGGCAAAGGCCCAAACCAAACCGCGAGCATGTTTGGATAAATGGTTATGAAACAATAAGACTAAGGACAAACCCGTGAGGGGCTCCAGTTTCCAGGATTACAGCTGATGAGTTGTGGCCTCTATCCTGGCATTTTGGGATCTGTACAGAACAACAGTAAGAAAAACAGTTCTTATCTATTCAATTTCAATTCAATTAGATTTTATTGATATAGCGCCAAATCACAACAAAAGTCGCCTCAAGGCGCTTCATAGATACAGAGAAAAACCCAACAATCAT